AACTGTTGGCTTTGTGGGTCGATAAGGAGACCGTAAAGGTTCCCGAGATGAATTTTGGGATAGATGTCGAGGTGGATAAAAATGAAAATCCGAAGGGTAAAAACTTAGAAAATTTGAAAAATTTAGTGGGAGTATATGTATACGGACCCACTCCCCCCTTTTTTAATTAGGGGGGTAGCTGAACTCGTCCGAGGACGAGCTGCCTACGTACCCTTTTCAGGGATCAAGCCACCCCGTAGTTCGTGTACATGCGTACCTTAGGTTTTTAGCGGTAATATTTCCTTAGATGCATTGCGTTCCAGGATCTAGGTACCGCTTTGCCATTCATGTTGATGAGTTTGTAGACGCCAGGACGGATTACCTTTGCGATCGTGTAAGGTCCCTCCCAATTCGCGCCGAGCTTACCTGCGTTCTGCTCGGCGGTATTCTGGAAAACTTTGCGTAGTACGAGATCTCCTTCGTGGAAACGGCGATGCTTAACGTGAGAATTGTAGTACCGAGCCGTTGCATTCTGATAGTTCTGCATACGGATCAAAGCCAAATCTCTTCTTTCGTCAATTAAGTCCAGCTCGTCCAGCATCATCTGAGTGTTGGAATTTTCCTGCTCGGGGAGAAAACGTCTTCTTAGTCCTGGGATCTCGGCTTCGGTGGGAATCACACACTCCGTGCCGTAGATAAGGGCGAAAGGCGTTTCTCCCGTGGCCCGCCGCGGCGTGGTTCTGTGCGACCATAGTACTCCTTCCAATTCGTCGGCCCAGCGGCCTTTCTTCGCGTGGAGGCGCTTTTTTATTCCGTCGAGAATCGTCTTATTTTCCGCTTCGGCTTGACCGTTTCCCTGAGGGTACCGAGGCGTAGACTTGCTGAGGCGACTTCCCCATTTCTCGCAGAATCCTTCGAACCGAGCCTAAATAAACTGCGATCCGTTATCTATAACGATCTCGTAAGGTATCCCGTGGCGGCATATGATGTTCTTCCAGACGAAGCTCTCGACCTGCGCGTCTTTGATGCTGGCGTAGGAGTCCGCCTCGATCCATTTGGAGAAGTAGTCTGTCAGTACAAGGACGAGTTTCTTCTGCTTGGAGTTGTGTAGAGGTCCAATGATGTCCATGGACCATCGCATGAACGGATAAGGCGAAGTGATGGAAGAGAGGAGATCGGCGGGTTGATGAATGGTTGGTGCGTGCCTCTGGCATTTGTCACACCGTTGAGAAAACTTCTCGCAGTCTTTGACCATTGTCGGCCAAAAATATCCGTGGCGTTTGATCTTTATAGCTAGGGCTCTCCCGCCAGAATGGTTTCCGCAAGATCCACCGTGTACTTCTTCCATGACTCTCCGAGCTTCATTTCCTTCGACACAGATAAGGAGGGGACCGGAAAATTGCCATTTAAAGAGTTCTCCGTCGATCAGAGTATACCGAGCCGCTTTTGCCTTAAGCTTCCGAGCTGCCCATTTTTCAGTAGGAACTTCTCCATCGGCAATGTAGCTTCGGATGGCTCCGATCCATTTGGCGTCGCTTCCGTATTCGGGCTCGGTTGCGTCTGTAGTTTGCTGGTTTAGCAGTTCGATGTCCATTTCTTCCGGTTCTTCTATCTCCCGAGCTGTTAGAACTTGATCCTTGCTATTATCTTCGATTCTCGGCTTTTCGATGAACTCGACCGGTATGATTCTCTTCAGATTCGGGTCGGAGGTTGAAGCTAGAGCCGCTAAGGCATCGGCCGATGTGTTTTCACCTCGTGGGATTCTGGTTAACTCGAACTCTCCGAACTGTTTCGCCAAGTCTTGCGTGAGAGCAAGATACGCTTCCATTCGTTCGTCGCGAGCCGTGTATTCTCCATTGAATTGATTAGCCACGAGCTGGGAGTCGCAAAAGGCTCGCAGCTTGTTGATCTTAAGTCCCCGAGCCAGCTTAAGTCCTGCTATCAGCGCTTCATACTCAGCTACGTTGTTAGTCGCATCGAAATTTAGCCGAAAGGATTGTTCGAGGATTTCACCCTCTGGTGATGCTAGGCGGATTCCGACGCCAGAACCTTGTTTTGAGGATGAGCCGTCGACGTGGAGGATCCAAACAGCGTTGGGTGACTCTTCTCGGGCATTCTCTGTTGGCAGCTCGATGATAAAATCGGCCAGGACTTGAGATTTCGCGCATGTTTTGTTCCTGTATTCGATGTCATACTCGCTGAGTTCTACTGCCCACTTGGCCAAGCGTCCCGATTGGCTCGGACTGTGCAGGATGGTTCGGAGTGATACGGGCGCCATGACGACAATTGAGTGAGACTGGAAATATGGCCGTAGTTTCCGAGCTGACATTACTACGGCGAGGGCGAGCTTTTCCGTTTGCGGGTAGCGTGTTTCCGCGTCGGTGAAAGTTTGCGAGACATAAAATATCGGCTTCTGCTCTCCTCTGTCTTCCCTGACTGACTCCACTTATCGCCGTATCAGAGACTGCGATGTACAGAAATAATGGCTCGCCCGGGACTGGTTTCGCCAACACCGGTGGATTAGCCAAATACTTCTTCAGTTCCTGGAAAGCTTCTTCGCAGCGATCGGTCCATTCGAATTTCTTGTTCCCGCGCAGAGTATCGTAGAAAGCCAGGCATTTGTCAGTGGACCGCGAGATGAATCGGGTCAAGGTTGCGACTCTCCCGGTGAGACGTTGGACTTCGCGCTTGTTCTGTGGTGAGGGCATATTCAGTAGAGCATCGATTTGCTTTGGGTTTGCCTCGATGCCTCGGTGAGTTACGAGATATCCCAAGAATTCTCCCGACTTTACCGCGAAACGACATTTTGCCGGGTTGAGCTTCATGTTGTGCTTGTTGAGCTGGCGAAAACAGTCGCGTAGATGGGCTATGTGATCGCTTTCTTCAAGGGATTTGACTAACATGTCGTCAATATAAACTTCCATCGTCTTCCCGAGCTGCTCGGAGAACATCCTGTTGACGAGCCGTTGATACGTTGCGCCAGCATTCTTGAGTCCGAAGGGCATGACTTTGTAACAGTAGATACCTCGGTCTGTGATGAATGCTGTCTTCTCGCGATCGTCGGGGTGCATGAGAATCTGATTGTATCCTGCGAAAGCATCCATGAATGATAGCAACTTATTTCCCGCGGTTGCTTCCACTAAGCGATCGATATGTGGGAGTGGAAAACTGTCTTTAGGGCAAGCTTTGTTCAGATCGGTGAAATCGACGCAGACTCTCCACTTGCCGTTCTTCTTTTTAACCACGACAGGATTTGCTAACCAGTCCGGATATCTTGCTTCGGAGATCGAGCCGATCTTCAGGAGCTTTTCTACTTCGGCGTTCACGGCATCTGCGCGATCCCAACCCAATTTTCTTCGCTTCTGCTTGATGGGCTTGAAAGATGGGTCAACATTCAGCTCGTGGCAGATTACGTCGATGCTTACCCCAGGTAGATCTTCAGCTGACCAGGCGAAGGTGTTGATGTTCTCTTTGAGGAATGAGATGAGCTCGGTCTTGATTTCCTCGGTTAAGTCGCTGCCAATTTCCACGCATCGTTCGGGCCGTTCGTCGTCGAGGCTAATGGAGATTATAGGATCCGAGGTAGGCTTCTTCTCCTCGCGCGCCTCCTCGATCTGTAATTGCTATAACTGTTTAGATATAGCCTTCTCTTCACTTCTCGCGTCTGGCAGGGTCGGCTCGGGTTGCGACTCTGGTGTTGTCGGTTGGTGTCGCGAACGTAAGTCTTGTTGGGTTGATGCCAGGCAAATCCCTCCGGGCTCGTGGCGGCCGAGTCTGGAAACGCGTGGTTTTTTGTTGCCCACGGGTTGCGATTTCGTCGACTCGCTGCGCCAAGGTTTTGTTAGCTTTCTCTTGGTCGTCAGCTTTCTTCTGGAATTTAACCATCAGGTCTTTCAGTTCGGCTAGAGTCGCTATGATCGTCGGATCGGCTTGAGGATTCTGAGGGTTCGGAGGGTCCGGGTTCCCTCCTCCAGCTGGTGGTGTCTGACGACCATCTTCGTTCATCGTCCTTTTCGGTAATCGAGTTCTGCGTCTTAGGGTAAGAGAATTCTAAAGTATCCCCACAGACGGCGTCAAACTGTGGAAGTCGAAACTAACACAATCGAGATTTGTCTAGGGTTTTAATTTAGGGATACGATAAATGTGAATTCTCAAAGAACAACAGAAACAATTGTAACCAAAGATGGTGTTCTTGATCTTATTGATGAAAAGAGTAGTTTTGATCGTACAAGAGTTTGATCGTAAAAGAAAAGATGTTTGTGCTATGAGAGCTTTGCGTAGTGTAAATTCTAGAGCGATATTGCTTGCCTTTTGCTTGAGCCTTGAGTCTCTTTATATAGGGATAGTAAACCGCCTCTCCACCGATATTCTCGGAAGATTTCCATTTATCTTGAAGTCGGCCTAGAATATCGCGGGTTTAGGATAGTTTCCTTATTCTTCGGGGTTTCTTGGAAGATTTCTTGATTTGAGTCGATCCTTCTAGATTCTCTCTTATCATTTCCGAGTATGTCGGAAATGATATCTTGCTTAGAAATGATACTTCTGGAGGCGAATATGATTTCGCCTCGGGTGTCTATGATTTCGGCTCGGGCTGCATGGATGATGGCATGACTCCCGAGCCGAGCTGGGGAGACTCTGAAAAGATTGGGCTCGGATACTCTTCGTCGATTGAGCTCGGCTACTCTCAGAGAAGCGGCTCGGGCTACTTGTGAGGTCGGCTCGGGGTGGAAGGAAAGCTCAGCTCGGGCATGGTGACATATAGGTTCCCGAGCTGTCGTGGCAAACGTCCCCGAGCCGGTATAAGGTGACCCGAGTCATATCAATCGACATTCTCCGTGCCAGTTCAATGATTGATCCCGAGCTGTTTCGGCAGTGTTCCCCGAGCCGGTTTTGATGATACGGCCCGAGGTATTATTTCCTAGCTCGGACTCAGTGCGGGTGGAATCCGACCCCAACAATTCTGAATTGAAAAATGACAAGCTTCTTCTACTAATTAACTAACTCCTTCTTTTATACGTCAGATTGAGTCGTGATCCTGCTTCTGTTGTCGATCTTCTCAAGGAACTGCGTAACAAGTACACATAATGACCTCTGTCCTTTGATTACGATGTGAAAATGACAAGCTTCTTCTACTAACTAACTCCTTTTTTTTTTTTGTGTTATCTATAAACTAGCTACTCCTTATTCAACAAACACTTTAGTGACAGATCCAGATTCTGGTTCCGAGATTTTGATCCTGTTGTAGAGATGGTCGTTGATAATGAAAGGAAAATTTTACACGCTCGTACCAAGGAGGCGGCACTCAAGGCCTATTTTCTAGGGATGAAGGGTGAAAGCCCTATTGAGAAGTTGGGGCAAGTAGATAATCTGTTAGATCATCACAGCCCAGACAAAGCAGCAAGCAGAACTAACAAGCTATCTATAGTTAGCATATCTCCCCTGTCTTCTAAGCTGGAATCCAATGCGCACCTTGTTGCTGTGTTATCAGATTGTACTAGGATTTATCTCTCCACCTCATCATCAAGTCAGTCCTCTCCGAATTGTTTGAGAGTAGTTACAACTCCTAACTTAACTATAGACCAGAGAAAGGGTCTCTCGACCAAGGCTGAAATCGCATATTGTCCTACCTTAGGGAATTGCGAATTGGAGGTTAGTACCACCACCGACCGCTCTTTGACTTACAGCATTTATATTTGTTTTATCTCATATACATATATATAGACTGGCTTGTCAGAGGAAAAACTCTTTCAGGTAAGTAACTGTCATAAAATGTTTGGAGACTCCACCATTTTGTCATGTACATCTCGGTAAGCTTTAATTATATACACTCATAATACTCTTAAAAACTCTTCTAGAAATTTTAAATATTAGTAAGAAGATATGAGTTTCTAATTATTTGGTACAAATGATGTGATATGTATATAGATATGTACCGAGTCGATTTATGAGGAAGCGGGTGAACATTGAGAGTATCAGGAGGCAAGAAGCGGGGATGTGTGATGCGATTGAGAAGCGGAAGCTTGCCATTTCGAAAAAGATTATGTAAAACGGGACAATCCAACCATCTTAGTTAAGACCCACTTCACAATTTCCTTGTCTCTTTCTGCAATCATCAACTCTTCTATCTCGCTAACTATGTTTATCTGTTAGTGTTGCGACTCGTAACGTTATTATGTATATACTGCAATGTAAGAACGCCTTTTTCTAGCAGTTTGACCTTGGCCTTGAGTTCTCTGTATAGAAACCAATTAGAAGCAATGATAAAGTCACTTGGTAACACATATTTTAAATTTTTAACTAACAAGCCAATCATCTTGCAGCCAACAAATTAAGAAGCAGATTTTTGTGAATTCATAAATAGCTCAAGTAATGCCAATTCTTATCATTTTGGTAGATGAACCAAGAAATAAATGGAAAGGTTGTGATTATTTTGGCTACAAAAGTTGTATAGAATCGCAACTATTCAACAAGGTTCTCTCGCATTACAAACCAAAGATATAATTACATAACAGGCTTTGGAACGACATAAGGTATAATAGTGGAATACAAAGTCTCTTTGATCTGAATGTTAGACTTTCAATACAACAAACATGAAGAAAGCAAACTTCTTACAGGTTCCTGAGTTATGTGTCAGGAGCTGGGACTCGAAAGAATACAAGTTAAAAAGAAAGTTGGGTTCGAGGAACTGGAGTGCACTTAAGTGGATGAACCATGGTAAGGGTCAGTCCTTCAAAAGTCTCTTCCATATTGACCTTATCTCCTTTGATTCCCCAGTCAAAGCACTGAACCATCACTCCAATCGCGGTTCCTATGAAAATAGAAGCTAGATTAGATCCAGGACAGCCTCTCCTTCCGCCCCCAAAAGGAATGTACTTCTGAGCTTCGTCCCTCTCGTCTTCTTGTCCTAATCTTGAAGATCCTAGAAACCTCTCCGGCTTAAACTCATTAGGATCTTCCCAGGAATCAGGATCTCTCATCCAAGCATAAGCATTAATAACAAGAAATGTCTTCTCCGGAATGTAGAACCCTTTGATCTCACACCTTTCTTCAAACTTCCTCGTCAGCAGAGGAAATGGTGGGTGCAATCTTAGTCCTTCCTTAACCACCGCTTGCAAATAAGGAAGGTTTGGTATATCTGTTTCTTGAATCAACCTTGATGTCCCTACAACGGAATCGATTTCTTCTCTCAGCCTCACAAGAACGTCAGGCTTATTAATGATCTCGGCCATTGTCCATTGTGTTGTTTGCACCGAGGTATCAGTGCCTCCCACGAAAAGCTCCTGCAACATTTATAAGAAAATTTTGTTCGGATCCTCCTCATATGAAATCTGACATAATGAGGAACATTTACCACAAAAAACGATTTGATATGATTCCTAGTGATCTTATACTCTGCATTTTCGTCTGCATAAGCTGCCAACAACACGTCCATCATATCCGTATCTTTATGCTCCTCGTCCAGTTTCTCTTTGTGTTCCACAAGAATCTTCTCTAGCAGCTCATCGAATCTGTTGGAAACATCCATTATATCCTTCTTGAATAGTGGGATACCGAGCTTCTTAAGCGGTCTTCGCAGTACAGATGCGAAGAAAATCTTCTTCGCCAAGGCATATGATTCACCCACCAATCCCCTGACTCTCTCTGCCTCACCATTCTCCTCTGAGAAACTCCTTCCCATGCTCATCCTGCACAAGATGTTGTTCATGAGCATCGTCGCTTCCTTACCAATCTCAACGTTCTCATTCTTCCTCGCCTTGTCAAGAATTCTGTTGTAAAACTGTTGTAGCTCTTCAGCACGAAGACCTCGTGACCGTTCCAACACCTGAGGTCGGAGAAGCTTAGTGGCGATGATCTTCTTCACGAACTTCAAGTAATCTCCGTAGGGAGCGTAGACGACACCAGAAGATCCAAACACGAGGGACTCATCTATCGCAGCAGCACCACGAGAGGAGACGTTCACATCGTGGGCCCTGAAGACCTCGTCAGCCACTGAGGCAGACGAAACAAGGATGATGGGGACGTTAAAAATCCGGAGATGGAGGAGGGGTCCATACTTGGAGGAGATTTTCTGTAAAGACTTGTGGGATAGAGAAGAGAGGAGAAGGTGAAGATGACCGATGATTGGAAGAGACGGAGGGCTGGGAGGTAGATTACAGCCTCGTGAGTCCTTTGGTTTCTTGAAAAAGATAGAGTAACAGACGATTGAGAAGAGGCACAGGAAGATGAAGATGAAACAGTTCTGAAAGTCAACGCTGATAAACGCTGCCATTATTGCTCCAAAGTGAAGATGTAGATGAAACATTATCAAGAATCCATTAATATAAAGTATGACCAAATCATGTTTATTTATTACTTTCAAAAATACTCGTCTTTGAGAAAATGTGAAGTAAACTCAAATAAATTGACATTGGTGATCAAATTGATAATATCAATAATTAAATATTAATGTTCAGATCCTCCCAAGCTGACAAAACAACAAAACAGAACGATCCAAAATTGACTCAGAGTGTAAGCAATGTACCTCACAACAGTCACCTGAGAAAGACATAATCTTGTTGTATGTAACTCACAAGGCCTACAAACAAATAATGTTTCAAGTTCTTACCAAAAATAACAAGTCACAAGATATACAACACTCGCAATTGTTTTTAGCAAAATTTGTTCTTAGCACCATTTAATTTATAGAAGAAGCAACTTTTGTGTGTTTCAAGTTCCTAAATGGCTAAAATAATGCCAATTCTAATAAATTTGGCAGCTACAAAAGATGAGTGAAAGTGCAATTCCTACAGCAAAATGTGGATAGAGGCCATGTTTCTATTTTGGAGCTGGCACTCTACACCCTCTTATAGCCTCGATCTAGTTTGAAACATGACACTGAATGCCTTTTCTTTCTTGGCCTGAAGCATCTCCAATCCCCATGCTCATATGACCTAAGATTCGTTTCTAGAACCCCGAACTCGGTTGACTTCTGTTTTGCCTGAATGGTTTGGTCTTGGCTACATCTACTACTATCATCCACCCATTAATAATCTGCGCAGAGAAAACATCATCTGAGAATCAAGCATGTTTTTCCCTCTCTCTTTATCACATTCATGTTCAGATTTTACTTCCAGCAGATGTAAAATAGACACTCTAGGATCTCGAAAACCTATCTTTACCTTTCCATTCATCTCTTTTAGTGCAGCGCTTGCGGCTTCCTCTGTCGTGTACTCTAGAAAGGCATAGCCTTTTGATCTCTTTGATATCTTGTCCATAATTATTTTGACTGCAGATGAAAATTATATAGGCTGTGGTTAACTATCTTTTTCCCAATAATATTTTTGATAGCAAAGCATGAATACCTTCCACTAGTTCACCAAACCCTTCAAATGCTGCACGTAATGTCTTCTCAGATGTGTAGAAAGACAGTCCTGAACACAAGATACATGATCTATCAGTCAATGTTATCTTCTGAATGAACTTAATTCGTAAATTAAGAATTTAAGATGCAGGCATTGAATTGGGAGAAGCATGAGTTTTCCTCATAATGCTGTGGAGATTAAGTCACTATACCAAAAGCATGCATACAAATTCAAGTGTTAGCATACCAGTTATAAACAGCTTCTTCGTCTTTATGGGAGGAGACTCTGAATCATCTTGATCTCGTGAAGCTTGTGTACTATCCCCTTTTGGAAAAGAAAAGAGAGCCAAGATAATTACAATGTGAGATTCACACATCGATACTCATTAAATCAGCTAAAGGTAAGGTTTGCAAAGATTCTAAAAAATATTGTTGCACAATGTTTCAATCTGAAGATCAGTATCCAAGACAGACCTTCATAGTCTTTGTTTAGTGACTCGAAACTGTTATCAGGAACAACCGCAAGAACACCAGGTACGCCTGCATCAATTAAACACCATCTCTTCATCGATTAGTTTAATTCAGAACAAGTCAACAAACATTGTTGTCTGATTTCCACTTAACAAACTCACAAACCAGCTAACTCCACGGCACTATTCTCATCGAGATCACAACAAAATCCGAAATCAGACTGCCAGGAAACATGATAAAGACACATCTGTGCATCCTTTTCACTGCAAAGAAAAAGGCAAAAAATGCTGTTCAAAGCTGAAGGAGAAAATAGCTTCCCTTAATGCATAATCAAACAAGAAACTTACTTGCACAAAACCTTGGATAGCAATTGAACACAATGATCAACCATCTGTGCTTTAGTAACAATCCCAACTCCTGGCTTATCTATTCGAACCATCCAATGTTTCACTGTCCCATGATCAAACAATGAAACACATGTCTGATTCCCAAAACCATAATTCTTCTTCTCTGAACTGTAACCCGCTTCAGGTCTAACAGACACTACTCCAGGTAAACCTAAGTTCGTAGACAACCAATTAAAACACCTAAATGACCAACTATAGAAACAGAATATGTGATTTCAATGGCATTAAGCTAACATATAATCCTACTCACGAGAGAGCTGGCGTGAAGCATCTTCGTCGATATAACAACAAAACCCGAAATGGGTATCAAAGGAAGCATCATATATACTCACTTGGGCATCTTTTTCGCTGCAAACAACAGAATCAGCAACAGTAGAAATCAAAAGGTTAAAGCACAAGGCTCAAAAGAAACAAACGAAGAATGAAAAAGAACCCACTTTCCCAGTACTTTCGCAAGAATCTCGACATAATAATCAACGATGTCTGATTTGGAAGAAACCCATTGCGGAGGTTTATCCAATAACACCATCCAATAGCTGTTTCGGGTAGGAGAAGCAGTAGAAGAAGGCGGTGCGGAAATTGCAGAAGAGGAGTAGACGATGTGTGATGATGACAAGGAGGTATAAGTTTTCCGAAAAGTCCCCAAATTTAAGTTGGGAGAAGAAAATGAAGGGAAGAATCTGTTATTGATAATGTGTGAGGAAGAGTTGGAGATGGGGAGGAAGAAGGAAGTGGGAGCAATAAGAGCTTCCATGGCAACTCTTTTTTGCTTGCTTTTGTTTCCTCTGCTCTTTTTTTTTCTCTGTTATTCTCCGCTCTGTAGAAAATGTAAAATCCGAAAAACCCAGGGCTTTTTGGGAATTTGGAGTGGATAAGTAAAAAGGCTAAGCATATCAAAAAGTATAGGCCGTTAAAAGGCCTAATTTGGACATGAATTAGCCCGTTAAAAGGTAAAAATACAAATTTTGCATATTAACGATGACAAACTTACCCAAAATTTTTAGTATAGTGTATAAGTACAATATAGAGTTGTTCGTTATAGTTCGTACAATATAAATTTTTAATCGTGAGCATGGTATAAATAAAATCGTCAATCGTAAAAATTTTGTGGTACAAATTAATCATAAATAAGTCAATAAAATCGTGCACCATAAAAAGATACATAAGTTAAATTTTTTCAAATCATAAAAATTACATTATCATTTGTAATGAAAAAAATCAAAAATATTTTAAAAATTAGACCTTAGATTAAAATGTCTAATTTGTTGATTTTTTTAGTCATGAAGATCCTATATAATGTGAAGTTATGGAATTCTATTTATAAGGTAAATCTATAAATGTTAGTCAAACATCAATCTTAAAATGTGAAAAAATGAAATTTTCATAATACTTTCAAAGTTAGTCTATACTTATTTTAATAAATGTTCGTATGATATACATATCGAGGAACATATATAGAGCATATTAGGGTAGGAGAAACAATCCCTCATCTGATTGTCATTCTTAAATCCATAATACAAAGTTTGTACTACAAACTGCAGTTATTTACGGTTTGACATAACTCCAAAAAATGGATTGCTGGTTTCGACAATTCCTTATGGTGGATGACGTTTGGTATGACATTGTTTTTTCACTGTACCATAACCATGGTGTTTCTTCATTTAGGAGAGGACTGTAATATAGGCGGCAGTTTTCTTGGCGTGATTTTCAGCTTTTCTTTCACTTACTTCAAAGACCTTGAGTTTCTGTTTGTGTTCTCTTATGCATATGCAACCTTCATTTTGCTGTCTCTTCACAACACATTGGCTATTGCAGTTGCGAAATTTACTATGTCCAAAATCTTAAAACTTCATTTTACAAAAATTTACTTTTAACTGACAAACTATGACGATCAACTTTGTATGCACTATGTTAGAGATTTTCGGTAAGCTTGTCTTCGTTAATATACGAAATTTGTATTTTATGGTATACAATCACTTTAATTCTAAACTACGATAAATTTTGGATGAAGTTGTAAAATAAAGTAACTTTATGTAGAAATTATAAGAAATCCGAAAAAATGATAAGTAAAGAAGCAGTCTATAATTTGGATATGAATTGGCCCGTTGAAAGGTAAAATCTAATAAAGAAAGTGAAAGCTAAGCATTTCATAGTTTGAATTTGAAACATTGAATTGCCAAATCGTTTTCTCTTTTTATGTATCTTTTATATAAAGTATGGTTTTAGTATATATATAAGACGAGCAAATCCAACTCTTTGTAGTATAACATAATTGTGGATTTAGTATTAAGACGAGCATATCGAACAATTTTACAATAGAAAATTCTATCCGTACTACATATATCGATTAGAGACGTTTTTACGTGTACCACATTAATGATAGACTATTTATCGTTAACATATATTGTCACAACAAATAATCTTACATGCACTACGCTAATTTTTTTTTAGAAAACTTGCTTCCAGTTAATATGCATAACTTGTATTTTCTAGAAATCAACCCCTACTAGATCAAACACAATTTCTCAATCATGAATAAACATGTTAACTTTTGTTGGGGGAAATTTATTTTAGAATTAAAATTGTGTTTGACCAAAGCTTAATTAGGTGATTGTATACCTACCATATATGAGATTTGATTCCGTAAAATACAAATTTCGCATATTGACGAAGGCAAGCTTACTAAAGATCTCTAGTATAGCGCATATTGAGTTGATCGTCATAGATCCTTCTATTAAAGGTAAAGTTGTTAATCGTGAGTGTAATATAGATAAAACCGTCAACTGTAAATTTGTGCAATGCAGATAGAGATGTTAATTATAAAGTCGTATGTAAAATCGTTCACCATTAAAAAAATACATAAGTTAAAAAATTTGCTAACTATAAAAGACTAAAAATTACATAAAAATGCATAGGTTAAAAACTTGCTAATCATAAAATTTACATTATCATTTTTAATGAAAAAAAATTAAAAATATTTTCGAATGCTTATATAGCGTACGATAAAATGAAAAAGAAAGTAGTAATATTAAAAGATCTGATTTCTAGACTTTTTATAGTTGTAAAGATCCTATATAATTTCAAGTTTTATAGTTCTTTTTATAAGGTAAATCTATAAATGTTAGTCAAACATTAATCTTAAAATGTGAAAAAATGAAATTGCATAATACTTTTAAAGTTAGTCTATCCTAATTTTAATAACTTTTGGTAATAAATCTAAGTAAGTTAACCGGAGATTGTGGTAATCCATCTCTAATATAAACCGGGTTTGCAATCTGAATTCTACGGGTTTACCAGAATTTTTTTTTTTGTTATAACAAAACAAAAAACATTGGATCTGTAAAAGAAAAATCGAAAAAAACTCTCCGACTCGGAAGAAGAGGGAGAGAGATGAAGAAGCCGGTCGGAGCCGAGAAGAAGAGGTTTAAACGATCATCGGGATCTGCATCTACCTCCGTTAGAGATTCTGGTTCTGATGCTCAACCTAGGGTTTGCTCTCTTACTCTCATTTCTCTCTAATCTCTTTTATAAAATTTTGTTCTTAGGTTACGTTTCCTTTTGTTTGATCTGTTTTGGTCTCTGATGGAGCATTTGACCTGCGATTGCATGATTTGCAGGCCTTTTTCATAGTTAGTTTTTGCTAATTGTATGTGAATGCTCATAAATGTGCGTGAACACTAGTTTTCTTTTGGATTTTGAGCACATTTTACTGTTTTGGTTGTGTGACTTGTGAATTATAATCTCTGAAATGTTAATTGAATCACTTGTGTGGCGAGAATTTGATTTTTTGGGCCTTGGTAATGTTAAATGATGATCCTTTTGATATTTGCATTTAGCTGTCCAAATGCTTATTCTTATTTTTACTTTACTAGAAGCAAGCTGTGAAGAAGGATAGTTTTCAGTTGTTTGCTGAGAAAGTTAGAGACCACAAGGGATTGGAATCTAGATGGGCTGTTATGGAGCAAGCACGAGTCGAATATTTCAGAGGGAAAGATTTTGTGAGCTTCATGAAGAATAATCCTGAGTTTAAAGAGATTCTGGAAGAAGATAAAGACCTTGATACAGATGATATTGCCAATGTTTTGTTGGGAAAGAACCTTTTGGTTCGCTGTGATCGTGTTACAAAAACTCTTCGACCCGGGAAGAAAAAGCTCTCTACTTGGCCAGCTCATTTGGAGATTTTCCGTGTAAGTTGATTTTGGGGTTGCTTCATATACAATACTGTTCTTTTCTTAGAGAAAATTGCTGTTGAACTTGTTGTCTTGTCATATTTTCTAAGTATACTCTTTACTACACAATTAATTCAACACTTTCACCATCATTCTCTTTGGTTCTTGTTTTGTTTTATTTTGAGTAAGATATGCATTCATTAGTGCAAGTATATCAGGGCTTGGATTTCATTTTTCTCTTTTTTTATGCAGGATGATCAATCTTTCTCTGAAAATGATGCCTTTTTTGCATGGACGTTCGAAAAACGGCATCCTCTATGGCAAACACTTTTGTCCTTCTTCTGGCCTGTATTGACTCTTGCAATTTGTTTGTTTCCTGTGTACCCACACCGTTGCAAACTAATTGTACTCTACTCATGCGCGGGCATTCTTTTGATGATTCTCTCCTTGCTTTTCGGTAAGCTCTACACATGTAATCTGTTTGATATGTTTTTCTTGTGTAATTGCACCTTCAAAAGTCACTTTCTTGGGAGTGTTATTGGCTCTACATCTAATTTTCTTTTACCATTGAGAATTGTAAGAATAACAAATTACCACTATGCAATGATTTACTAGCTATAGCTACTTAATTGAAGGGGGTCATATAGTCATATAGTTATAACTTGGTTTATACTGAGATTAGTCCTTCTTGATTACCTCTTGCAGTGAGAGCAGTTGCTTTCGGTGCTATGTGGATTCTTTTGGGAAAGCGTGTCTGGTTCTTCCCCAACATTCTAGCCGAGGAAGCCACATTGAAGGAACTGTTCCGTTTCTGGCCAAAGAAAGACGAGGAAGAACCGCCCAAGTGGACATCTCGACTTTTCTACACAGTAGTGGCTATTGTTGTTGTCATGCTGCTTAGGCGCCATGCCCCTGATGAAGCTGCTCGGGCCAGGTATACACTCCTTTGTCCTTTCTCATCCACCTTTAAATATCGCTTAAACCGCTTTAAACCAAAACTGTTTTGCTGCCTAGTAGAATCATATCTAATCGCTTCAAGTTTGAGTTTTGGATTTGGTTGCAGTAGAGGTGAATTGTGCTGAGTTTTGTTCATACAGGTACCAAAGAAGGATGTCCAACATCATTGATGATGTCCTTGAGTGGTCACCAAAGCTAGCACTTTCTGGTTTAATGGAGAATCAGCAACCTGTCAACATCACAGATGTGGCAAACAACTCCTCAGATTCAGCAGGTTCCGACCAGACTGAAGAGGTCGTCCTAGACGAAACACAAGGCGAGGACCTAGAGGAAACTCAAGGCGAGGAGGAAGCTGAAGGTTGGACTGACTCTGATCTAAAAACATAAAAAAACAAAATATAGAAACGAAAGTTCATTGTAACAATAAGTCAGCTTAAGTGACCAAGACGAGGTGAGTTCTTATAAGAAAGTCTTGAAAGATTTTGTGGTACTCCATTACTCTTTTTCATTTTGACACAATCTGGAATTTAGCTCTAAATCACAGTTTTGTATTCGAAACTTAAAAGTCTCAGACAAATGCTCTATCACTTGCTAATTGTTTACTAAAGAGAGAGTTGACAATGAAAAGCAGCAACATTTGAAGTATTCCAAACTGAAGAAAAAAAAAAGGCACACAAAACTACAAAAAGTATTTGTACAAAATAAGAAG